CAAATCAATTTTCTTTCCCCTAAAAAATAGTAAGCTACTGTCAAATTCATCCTTTGTGTTTTTTATTGAGAAACTTGTCTGATGTGACTTGTGGTCTTTGCCAATTTTATCCACAAAGTCTAGAGGACTTTACCACAGTGGCCAGGTTTCATTGGCTGATGCCCATTCTATGTAGTAGTGCGGCTACCACATGTGTAGCCATCTCACAAACACAAGCTAATGTTCATGCATTAGTAAACACACGCGAATGTATTGTCACGTTACATTGCAGAATGGGAGAAAGTTTTTGTATCAACAATCGAAACAGAATGGTTCTCCATTGTTGGTGGGAATCTGTACTGTGATGTCAGGTATCCTGACCATATTTGTGGTAGTAGAATTCACATATTTCCAAAATCAGAAGCAGAATGCCTTGCTTGGATCAAAGCTTGTGCACGACTGCATGAATAGCTCAACCAGCATAACGTTGGAGGAATTGTGGCTCAAACACCTTGATGTCATCCAAAAAAGATGACATGAACTTGTTAGTTCCTCTGTCCATTATTGTAGCTGATATTTGGTGAAAATCCGGCAGAAATGACGCAATAATCGACTCAGAAATACTCTATCAGTCCAATTAGAAGACCCCATGTTTATATAAACATTGCATCACGGGGCTTTGTTTGTGAGACTTGCGGCCATGTGAAATTTTTTACGCCGGTTGTGGGCAATACATAGCGAGGGGACAAAGGAACCTAATGAAGACATGTGAATGGTGCTTACAAGGACCAGCTACAATCACATTTCTGGACGTCTTTAAAGAGCTGCTTCCAGGAAACAAAGAATTAAGTGATCAGGTGAGAATGCATTCACAAGTCAAAGTTTATTTATATAGTACATTTACAGTCCTCAACTGACAATGCTTCACAATAAACACAATAACACAAATATTGTAGATGAATGATGAAATACAAAATTAAATTCAGTTTAGAAAAAATAAGATTATACGAAATAAGACTACTTTTACGTATTATTATCCAGTGTTCCGCACTTTTTTGTGTTTAACTACTACTGCATTCCTCAGCTGATTTCAACAATTCATATATCAAAACATTCAGTTTCTTCTGGAGACGTGCACCATGACGTTTGATAATTTGAGCTACTAAACTTTTTGGAATATTTAAGCTTTATGCTAATTTCAGCCCCATTGAAAGACATTGTAATTCTTCTGAATTCTTCAAAATTTAGCAAAACCTTTGTACTTTTTACAGCTTATTACTTCTGTCTCCTTCAACTTAGGCTGTGTTCACACTGCAACCTGAAGTGACTCAATTCCAATTTTTATGACGTAATGAGGCCTCAATCCAATCTTTTCATGACAGTCTGACAAGTTGCATTCTTTACGAATGCATTTGACCTGAATGTCACGATACTTGACAAATGTCACTATTCTGCGTACCAATATGCATAAGCGGCAAAAAACAACAACAACCATGGTGGACAACAATGAGGATTAAGTTCCTAATATGCTGGCTCCGGTTGGACAACTTCAAACGTGCAAGCTATGCTCCACCGGATGCATCCATTTTTACTTCTGCAAACACTGAGCACTTCCTTTTTATGGCAGTTGGCAGAACGCTGATGTTATTGCCCCTCTACTGCATATGCGGCATACTTTGAGGTCGTTGGGTCACCTCAAGCTGCAGTGTGAACGCAGCCTTAGAAATTCCATTCAACTTTTAAACAACTCACCAGGTATTAAGCTATCTTCAAATGATTCAATTTTTTAAAATCTCTGCCTATAATCATGATTTAAGTTTTTCAGGTTTTTAACCGTTTTCACATTTCACATTACAGTGGAATCCTACGGTGGAATTATGACACAGTGCACGTGATGATTTTCCAACATTTTATGTTTTTTGACAAACAAAATGATGCTGTTCAAACATATATATACATTTACTCTACAGAAATAATTGTGCATAAAGATGTAGTCACAGGCATCTGCTTTGAGGAAATATTAGAGTCCTTGCTGTAGGACAGTGGAGGTGTCACGGGGGCTCCCCCTGGACAAGTCATAGTTCCCCCGGAAAATATTAGGTTTCATTTTTTTTTTCATCTGATTTAACATTACTTATATGTAGCTGTTGTGGTATTTTCATCAAAAGACAAAATAAAATAAGTTATGTCCTGAGTTAAAAAAAAGATCACACAAGAGGATTTGAACCTTGTCTATGCGTATTATCATTTCCATGAAACAATTGACAATTGACATGATCCCTCCCTATGCATACGTGGAGCATCCTCCACAATCATTCCAGGGTATTTGTCAGTAACTGACCAATCAGCGGGCGCAATTTGACAGAAAGCTACTGTGACCCAGTGTTAAGAACACAGGTGGAAGTTGGTGATGTTAATTTGATGTTTTTTTGTGTGTGTTGTTTGTTTCACAAGATTTGAAAGTATAAATAGATTTTGTGTTTTATTTTGCTTAGAAAGATATATCCAAACGTGCTAAAAACATCGTTAAAAACTGAAATAGGCCTTTATTGTTTTGCTGATGGATTGGGCAACCAATGGCTGGCGTGGTCTGACATTACGTCAGCCAATGGGGTTGATTGTCCCGCCCCTTTCACTACTGCGCTGTGATTCTACTCAGACGCGTCAGACGCGGTGGAGAGCTAACAGCTGATCGTTGTTTCCGTTAAGAGCCCGAGAGAGATGATAAAATCTGGACAAACGTTTCTTTGAGCGCAGCTGAGACTGAAAAAAATCCCCGGTAGAGTCAGACACCGTCAGAGCGTTGGTCAGGTTTTAATTACGGTGAACTTTTGGCCTGGAGTGCCCTCTGACTCCAAGACTCACTTCTGAATTTGGATGGCGAGCCTCGGCCCAGTGAACCCAGTGAACCCAGTGAGATGGTAGATAGTGACCCGATTGGTCACTATTCTTGAAATACTGAGAGGATCGACTGACACATTGGAACAGAGTGGACAAAACTGAATGGACTGACACCTTGAAACGACTGTTATTTATTTTATTTTCTGTTTTTAAAAAAAACGTGAGCTATTTTGCTACAATTGTAAATGTGGATCCATAATTGTTTTATTATTAAATTCTACTCTTCCTTGTTAACACTTTGTGCACTCCTGTGTTGTTATTCACACCTCGGCTCTTTAGAATTTAGAGTCTTGATCGGCCCAACTTCTTTTTAGATATACTGTCATAGCATTGGTGCTGGTCAGAGAATTAAATTACATGACCTGCCTTTTGCTATTATTAAGTGTATTTAAAGTAACTTGTGGGTTACACTACTCTTATCTAGATAATATTGTTACCTATTTGTGTTTAAGAAATGTTATTAAATATTTATTCATGTCATGGTACATGTAATTAATGATTTAATTATGTATTTAGACTTAGACTCGTACTTTATTGATCCATTGGGAAGACTCCCTCAGGAAATTGAAGTTACCAGCAGCTTACAGGCAGAAAGGTGGCACCCAGTGAACAAAATACAAAAGAATACAACAAATACAAATTAAATACAAAGGTACACACTAAATGTGAGTAGGCAAAACCCTAAATTGAGCAGAAATAAGTAAGGAGTAAGAATATAAATAAAATATAAATACAACACAAAAGAAAATATAGGAATTTGGAGGATAGATTGACCAGTGATATGGTATTGCACTATATGGTTTGGCCTGATAAGTGTGAATATTTGCAGAAAAATACAAGGGGTCACTACTCCACTACTCTTCTCTCTGTCCTGTGTCACCTCCCACCCTCCAGTGAGAAGTTGTACAGTCTGAAGGCGTGGGGGACAAAGGAGTTCTTGAATCTATTGGTCCGGCACTTGGGAACCAATAGATTCCCAAGTGCCAGAAGAGCCTGTCACTGAACAGGCTCCTCTGGCTGCTGATGACGGCATGTAGAGGGTGGCTGCTATCGTCCATGATGTCCAGCAGTTTGTTCAGTGTCCTCGCCTCTGCCACCGTGACCAGAGTCCGCTTCACGCCGACCACAGAGCCGGCACGCCTGATCATTTGTCCAGTCTGTACGTGTCCTTCTTGGATGTGCTGCCTCCCCAGCACACCACGGTGTAGAAGAGGACACTGGCAATCACTGACTGGTAGAACATCCACAGCAGTTTGCTGCAGATGTTAAAGGACCGCAGTCTCCTCAGGAAGTACATCCTGCTCTGCACCTTCCCATACAGGTGGCTGCTGTGTTTTGACCAATCCAGTTTACTGTCCAGCCACAGCCCAAGGTACTTGTAGGAGTCCACGGCCTCAACCTCCGTTCCCTCTAGAACAACTGGTCTCGGCTTTGGTCTGGACCTCCCAAAGTCTATAACCAGCTCCTTCGTCTTAGCGGTGTTGAGTTCTAGATGGTTTGTGTGGCACCAGAGTGCAAAGTCCCTCACCAGACAGCGATACTCCTCCTCTCCGTCGTCCCTGATACATCCGACTATGGCTGTGTCATCAGCATACTTCTGTATGTGACACAGTTAATTTTAATGTTCTCCATTTTATTCATCCATTTAAAATGATTTTTTGAAAAATGTTTTTAAAAAACTTTTTTTTAAATCAATCCATCTTTCTTAAGGTCTCATGGGGCCCTGGCTGATGCAGCAAACTAATAAATGAACCCTTAGGCATATGCAAATTTTACTTAGAATTCATCCATTTCTGTCAAAAAAAATGCCAAATAAAAAATAACTATATTTAGCAATTTTTTCATTGGTCATACAGCTGTATTAAAGTAAAATTATGATTATTTGTTTATTTTTAACATGAGCGCTAATTTTATTCACCGTAAAATAAAAGTTTTAAAGCAGCATTAAGTAAAGGGATCTCGCTTTATTTTGAAATATTGCCCCGGATGTGAGGTTCGCTGCCTGCTGCCCCGATTTAAAGCCTCGTGACGTCAGTCTTCCTGTCATTGGCAGCTATCCAGCGATTCATTCCCGCGGTATGACTCCCTCCCTCCCTCCCTCTCGGCCATCCTCGCTGACAGTAGCGGCATCACGCTCTCTCAGGGAGGGAGTCTCCTCCCTTCCTCTTCGGCCTGAAGGCCCTGACTGGCCGCCGGCAGCCGGAGCTCAACCGGCTTTTCATCGCTCCGTTTCAGGTTATGGATTGAAAGAACCAGAGAACCACAAGTGGGGATTTCTGAGAATCCCGGTGCTCAGGATTCAGGATTTGAATGTCCGTTTTCTCTCTTTATAGTTATCATCCGCTACCATGTCACGACCAAGGAGACACAACTGAAGGATATTAATACGAATATTAATTCCAGGATGAACTGAGCCGGGCATTCTAATTCCATCTGAATTAGCGGAGCGGGTGCTGGGAATGGGAGTTGGAAAGGTGATCAGAAAATATTTGTGATTTGTGGATGAGAAGCAGTCACTGGATCGGATTCCTTGCGGAAAGACCCGGTCAGGGAAGGAGGAAGCAAAGGCAACTGCGGCAACCGAACCGACAACCGGGGGGAGGGGTGGGGGAGGGAGAGTGGGGCACCGACGAGGATGAGAAGATGGATTTACTTTTTGGACTCTTGTGGCTGTTGACCAGCTTCCTGCAGGGCGTGCACAGCCAGGGCGTGTATGGTAAGGACGTCATTGATATTTGTAAAGGTCCATATTGCTCCATCACTGCAAACACCTCACAATATCACCGACTGCAGCAGAACACCAACGCTTCTCTTAAAACACCCCCAACACCATGACCTTGTGAGGGATTTGCGTGGTTGTATTGAATGAGTGTGTGCGTATGTGTGAAGGTCTGCACACACACATTTTCTCCATCCATCCTATGTCTTTATAAAACATATATATATATATTGTATTGCCTCAGGTATAAATTCATCTTTTTTGCAAGCCAAGAAGTGATGACTACTTAAAACCTGGTTATGGTAAATTTGCACTTTTGTGATAAAGTTTCAGGTCTTTTAACTAGCATATTTGTTTCAAACAATATTTTAATAAATTTTTTTTTTTAAATTGGGGGAGGGAGGCGGTTGAAGTATGTCATGGGAAATACTAGACTTTCTGATTCAATTTCTTTCCTTATTGGAATACCATTCTTTCCAGAATAATATTGTATGGATCTCAGTTGTTCCGCCCAATAATACTTAGTTATGATTGGACCCTTATGGTATGGGAAATGTAACAAAGCCAGTCAAATTCTAGTCCCGTCATTTCTCTATATAAATTATTAAAGTAGCCTGCTCATTTAGAAAATAAAAACCAGTCACCAGGTGGTGTGAGAGGGAGTAGTGTCACTTTAATGGCATTGATTCTGCTCATAACCGCAGGAACATCCACCTATGAATCCACTCTGTAATTTTATCCAGTCAAGATTCATAATTTGACCTAGCAATGCTGAATTAGATGTAATTTGTAATTCAATTTTTCAACTTCATTAAACTGAAATACATTCTATTACCAAAAGTATTCGTTCCCCTTCCTTGACTCACATATGGGCTTACGTGACATCCCATTCCTGATCCACAGGGTTCAATATGACGTTGGTCCACCCTTTGCAGCTAGAACAGCTTCAATTCTTCTGGGAAGGCTGTTCACAGGGTTAAAGAGTGTGTTTATGGTGATGTTTGACCAATCTTCCAGAAGCACATTTATGAGGTCACTCACTGATGTTGGACGTGAAGCCCTGGCTGTTAGTCGCTGCTCTAATTCAAACTGTTCCCACAAAGTTGGGAACATAGAATTATCCAAAATGTCTTGATATGCTGAAGCATTCAGAGTTCCATTTTAATCAAGGATATGTTTTTCTTCACATCTTGTTGTTTATCCATCCATCTATCCTGTTTTCTAATACCAAGAAATAATCAATATGCGAGTAAGTCTGGAATGTTGCAGAGAAGCAAGAAAAAGCAATATTATTTGACTAAAGATATCTCCAGATATATAACTGATAAAATTACAAATGACGTTTCTGCTTTCGGTGTGCGTCAAGTCATAGCATGGAGCAATCTCTTGTAAGATCCCGTGTGCTGCTTTCCTGGAGGGGATGCTAAAGTAAGGAATAAATGTGTATGAAACTGAGGCTCATCCAGATTCTGATCAGATTTAAATTTATTGCTAAAGCAACTCTTGAACAATCAAATACCTATGAGATCTATCTGAAAATATGTTTGAAACTCAATATTACTGAGTTTGATATTACTGATATCAAACTCAGATTTTAGATTGTTTATTGCCACTAATATTTCTTTAGTATGGTTATCCATTGCCTTATTGCTATTGCCAGCATTAAAGCCAGTATTGGTCTCCATGCTATCTCCATCTTCCATCTGAGTTGCAAAATTTGCTAACTTTCGTCATAAATTTTCCTTTATCTTTATTTGTTTTACCATGATTGGACAAATTTGCTCTCTGCCAGCCACACATTGGAAAAATCTCATTTTCTCAGATTTCAGCAGAGCAAAGCTAAGCGTTACTCTCTAGCTTGCGGCCATAACTGGAAGCTCCTTTTTACTTATTTAGTTACCTATGATTACCTACGTTAAAAAAGTCCATTTAGCTCAAACTAAAAGTTCAATGAGAATGTTGTATGGGTGCTGAGCTAAAAATACAGCCAACATTGTCAAGGTTTAAAATGTTACCAAATCACTAACGTTTATCCGTGATGTATGTAATTCGGAAATTCAACACTATGAAGCTTACCAGAAATTGTCTGCACTGGAAACAAATGTTTTTCAATGTTTCCTTCTCCAAGCATGAAACTGTTGCTGATCTGAAGAGCTTCTGACTGCTACATAAGCGCTACAGGCTATCATTCCTCTCAGCAGCTGTTAAATTCTGTAAGCGTCACTTATCACTAACAATAAAGTCATTTAAGTGTTTACTTCCATGCTGGTGTCTGGACATTACTATTGCACAGTTTTTTACAGTACTAATTGTAAAATTAATGCTGAAAGAATAGTGCATATTATGAGAGAACCCTCTTTTTTCGCGGGGGTTGCTTTCCAAAAAGAATCTGTGATTGGCGAAATCCACGAAGTTACCTTTATTTTTTGACAGCATAATTAAATACTTTACATTGAAACCAAAGAGCAAAACCTGTTTTCAGGCCCAAGCATTATTTTTTAACAAATAGAAAATTTTCCCAACAGTAGTCATTTGTAAGAAAGTGTTGTAAGTTAATTTATGTATGAGTTTAAATATGAGTTTATTTGAAAGGTTATGTTTTTATATTATTTCTGTGTGGTGCTTTCTTGACTCCTTTCTTTTATGGTATAATCTTAACTGTTTTTTCAGGTTTTCTTTTAAGGGTTAGAAATGTTCACACATTTTTACGAGCTGCTTTGATCATTATCTGTGTCCAGAGGGATGAATTTATAGAGGTCATCCTTGTGTCCTGGTAAGGGGATGTCAACGGAAGACTCCCAGAACATCCTGTGGGGAAGTTTATTGGTCAATTGTTTGCATGACTGTGTGAAAAGCCAACCTCTTTGTTTGTTAACATGATAAAAGGCAGTTGGGGACTGAGAGCCGGCGGAGTTGATCCCAGACAGCGTTTGGCAGCGGGTCTCCCCGTTGAGCTATCCTCTTCTGCGGAAAAGTAATTTGTGTCTTTGGTTAATTCTTGCAGGTTGGGGAACAAAATAAACCTAACAACTACAGTAAAATAATCAGTTGAACCATCAATACAAAGTAGTGTTGCATGCCTTTGTGTTTTGTGTTTATGATGTAAAGCACTTTGAAATGCCTTGTAGCTGAAATGTGCTATACAAATAAAATTTGATTGATTGATGATAGAGTAGGACAAATTGTGACTCATGTATTTCACTGTGCTCTGACTGTGACGCTGCGGGCTGACTCCGCTCTGCAGTGTCTTTTTCTTCTGAAGCCTGAGGTGTAGGTGTGTTTTTCAAGAGAAGAACATAGTTATTGGCTTTTTTCTTCTGGGAAAACATATTTGCCAAAATTTGCCAAGCTGTATTACGTAAATTTAAATACCGTAACATTTAGAGAAGAAGTGCGGAGACTGTTTAGCCAATCAGGACGCAGAACACAATGCACTGTGAAAAAAATAAAATGCACAAAAAAATCCGTGAAGCAGCGAGACTGTGAAAGATGAACCATGTTACAGTGAGGGTTCACTTTTACTTTTAAATTAACCAACTCAGTTGCACACTCTAGAGTGGAGAATTTTCTTATACCTGCACATTTCTGGAGTGAGATGTCTGATGTTGTTCCTGGGATCTGTTGTAGCCACTGCTCCAGTTTGGGGGTTACTGCCCCGAGGGCCCCAATGACCACAGGCACCACTGTGGTCTTCACCTTCCAGGCCCTCTCCAGTTCCTCCCTGAGGCCCTGGTATTTCTCCAGTTTCTCCTTTTTCCTGATGTTGCAGTCGCTTGGTATTGCTCCATCTACCACAACGGCTTTCCTCTGTTGTTTATCCACTACGACAATGTCTGGTTGGTTCGCCATTACCATTTTGTCTGTCTGGATCTGGAAGTCCCACAGGATCTTAGCTCTGGCGTTCTCCACCACCTTTGGGGGTGTTTCCCACTTTGATCTCGGGGTTTCCAGTCCATATTCTGCACAGATGTTTCTGTACACTATACCTGCCACTTGGTTATGTCGCTCCATGTACGCTTTCCCTGCCAGTATCTTGCACCCTGCTGTGATGTGCTGGACTGTCTCAGGGGCCTCCTTGCACAACCTACACCTTGGGTCTTGTCTGGTGTGGTAGATCTGGGCCTCTATTGCTCTGATGTTTAGGGCCTGTTCCTGGGCGCCAGGATGAGGGCCTCTGTGCTGTCCTTGAGTCCAGCTTTTTCCAGCCATTGGTAGGATTTACTGATATCAGCCACTTGGGTTATTTGCTGGTGGTACATCCCATGTAGGGCTTGTCCTCCCATGATGGTATCTCTGGCACCTCAACCTCCGTTCCCTGTTGTCTGAGACATTCACTGAGCACATTGTCTGTTGAGGCTTTGTATCTATGGATCTTAGATGTTTCGTCCTGGACAGTGGTTTGTGAATAAAATGTAGGTCTGATTTTGAAGTTTGATCAAATGTATTTGTTTTTCATAATTGTCCTTGCAATAAATAGCGGGACAAAACCTGCCTCACCTCTAAACACAGAAATGCTTCAGCTGCAGAGAAACTTCTGACTTTGACTTCACCATTCTGCTAAATGCCTGGTTGGCTACAGGCAGTCTGGGTCGGTACCACCAACAGATAGAAAGAATGTCTGTCTTTATATCAGACATCTTGATATAAGACACGGTACTGTCACTGTCACCGTGAGTTGCAACGTAGCTCAAAGACCTGGTACCTCCTGGTACCACCTGCTGACTGTTCGCTGTGCGTCCTTTACGTTTCTACCAGGCGGGTTAAAGTCGCTGCTGATGTGATCTGGGGTGGAAGTTCGCGGCTGTAAACAGAAGTTACTGCAGAACCTCAATTGACAAAGATTCGACCCAGAGCATTTGGAGTTCACAAAATATCACATAAACATCAACAAAAATAATTAGAAAATCGGCAAAAGCCAAACATGCCACAACTAAATAAAACAAGATGTCCCCAAAGTATCGATGGACTGGCATAGAGGCTACCAGGGGATTCCAGGA